ATTCTGACTTCTAAAGAAATTAACAGAATATGCCACGCTTATGAATTAGGAAGATAGCTCAGTATTTTAGAAYGTTTTCTTTTATTCACCATCTATTATTAATCAATGTTACTAATTTGTATAATCAGTTGTGGCTGTCTCTGCAAAATCTATTAAACTGCATGCGAGCATTATAAAGACAAATTAACTGACTGGACATTGATAATTTTTGGTTGTCCTTTTTAACATTTTTTTCTCTGATTGCAGGGGAGTTTGTGTTAGTTTAAAATAACACGATAATTGCCTATTTTATAATAGTGTGGTTATTTTAAAGTGATTAGTAACAAAAAGGAGGTCAGATTATAATATAGAGTTCGTTTTTCTGGTTCAGAAGTCAGCAGATAGGAGGTAGAATACCTCTTCTCTGAAAGAACAGTTCCCTTGAGACCTATTTTTTACTGGTCCCAAAATCTCATCTCGACCACACTAAGAAGTGCACATCCTACAAAGAGAGCGCTGCCCGAAGAAACGACAGTGCCCAGCAGATCTCAGGCGTCCCTGTGCTACTACGCCTACATCAGAGCTGGGGTTCACGAAGGGAGCGACTGTCGAAAGAAGGTGGGCAGTAGAAGGTCGAGCCCAAAGCTCTCGCTTGATGCCCTAGGATACAGGTCAGACTCAGCAGCTGCAGTCACCACCGACCACACCTCGGTCCACTGGCTGTCAGTCTCCCTCGAGTGACTGCAGGCCTGACTCACAGAGCTGCCTCACCCCCTCCCCTCTGTGACTGTGAGTCTGAAAGTGCTGCCCCGCACTTTCCACCCCCTCTGTGACTGAGAGTCTGTCCCATCGCCCCAGATCCACAAAGAGGCATCGACTCCTCTCCAAGACCCTCCAGTGTCCGGGCGGGTAAACTGGGGGAGGAGCCACAAAGGACAAGAACATTTAACATATTTTCAAACAGTTTCAGAGAAATAAAACAAAGACTAAAAATTATATCAAACATATAGTTACTTGTATGAAACTTCACCAAAATCTGATTTATCCAAAATTCATATTGACAAGTCTTCTGTTTATTATCTTACTTAAAAGGAACATCAAGACAAAAAATATAATTAAAAAAGGAAGACATTCAGAACAATAACATATAGTTACTTGTATGAAACTTCACCAAAATCTGATTTATCCAAAATTCATATTGACAAGTCTTCTGTTTATTTTCTTACTTAAAAGGAACATCAAGACAAAAAATATAATTAAAAAAGGAAGACATTCAGAACAATAATCATCCTTCTTAGCTCTTTCCAGCTCCTTTTCACTTCCCGCTTGAAGACCAGCTTTCCTACAATTACAAAGAGAAATCACCAATCACATGTCTAAAAACAACTGTTTGCTTGTAAAATGAAACACACCCTGATTGGTTTAATTTTAAGAGACATGTTATTCAAATACGCAGTTATCTTACTCTGCTGATTCTGCTCTTTGTCTTAGTTACAGTGAACTTTTGCTGTCATGAACTTTGCTACTGTGCTGTTATGATCTTTCTCCAAATAGATAATGATGACTTGCAGAACACGGGAATGCGAAATGGTCACTCGGGGACTTTCTGATGCACGCCTATGCAGAGTTGTAAAGTAACTAAGTACAAATACTTCTTTACTGTACTTAAGTAGAATTTTTGGGTATCTGTACTTGAG